GAGCAGTACCTTAAATGTGACGTTTTCAAGTGTAAATTTATTTTACCGATGGAATAAATCATCTTTGACTTTGACTTTGACTTTGAGTATCAGGATTATCATTAAGTGATGAGATCACTTAAACGTTTTCAACTCAAATTATTTGGTCAAAATCTTGAGAAGTTTCAAGAACAACTTTCACGAAGAACTTTCGTGAGTAAAGGATCGAATATTTTTACTAGCAGAGATCCTTGAAAGAGTTCGTCTAGGAAGGTATAGCCTATGGTGGCAGTAATTGTTCTGTCACCATTGGCTATACTTTCCTAGACGAACAACAATTTGTTTGAAGTACTTTTGTACAAGGTATGGACTTATTTCTGCCGCCAAACAGTAACGTATGCGTATGCTGTATATTGAAGGGTAGGGGTGCTGCCGAAACTCAGACAAACTAAGGGTCGTATTCCAGAACTCTACTCAATGCTCAAGTCAGGATTTGAGCAGACTTGCGTATGATTTCAAGCACTGGAAATACGACCCTAATGGCAAGGACTCGAGTATGATTTTCAGTGCTTATTGCAATACAACAATTGAGTAGAGTTCTGAAATACGACCCTAAGAGATTTATCAAATTTTGTCTCAGGGTGACGACGGGTGTATTGGCAGTGAATCTCATGTCTTTGTGGTTTAAATTTGAGTGACAGCTGTTTTGTATCATAGACGTGTCACTTATGACCAAGTGTACAACTTAGTCATAAAAAAAAACTTATTTCAAAATTTACTTACCACTTTGCACTAGATTTAGATCATTCTCCAAACCAGGCATAGGCGATGTTTGTTTCATTTTTTCAGCCAGCAAGAGTAGTTGGTCTAATTCATGTTCATCCATTAGCATTTCCTTCAGTTCATTTCTATTATCTGTTGTATCTTTTTCCTTCAAATTGTCTTGCACTTCGGATAATGCATGAAATGTGGGAATAAATGTACTAGCGGCTGTAATTCGTGGATATGAACCATTTTCTACCGTATTAGAGATATTTGGTGCATTGAAAGTATGCAAGATATTACAACCAGATTTGTCTACATTTTGAATAGGATTTTTGGTTAAGTTGAAGTTGGCAACATTCACTGGTCTTTCGAGAATATTACTATGTATCGATTTCATAAGGACTTTGCTTTCCGAGTGTACTTGGTTGCTTCCTCTTGGAGAGTTGGTTGGATTACGTGTGCTGTTAGGTAAATTATCCTGTTCTTTTACAAATGTAGATAAAACAGATGCCGCCGGTATTTCTTTTAAGATTGACTTCATAATAACGCATTTTTGGGTTTCAGCAAGAGATGCCGAAGGAACTTGAATATTTCGTATATTTATCGGCAAGTTCATTATCGGCGTAGATGGTAGAGTTTGTTTCCCGACATTGGGTCCAGGTAACAGCTTTTTACGTCTTAAAATAGCTTGTAGGTTATGTTCTGTATTAATTTGTTTATTGGTTGGTCTAATATTTTTGTCTGGTACCCTTGTATGTTTAACAACGTTTTGAACTATAACTGGTGATAATTTACTGTCAATGATTACATTATATTGTGCCGGTTTATGAAGTTCTTTTGTTGCAGTTTGTAGTACATAAGAAGCAGGTCTTATTATAGTTTGTCCCACAAGTGTTTGGTTTCGAACTGTTTTAAAGCAATCTTGGCTTTTTACAAGGAAATTTTGCAGCGGTATTCCCTTACCGAGACATATGTCTTGCCCAGTGCTCAATGTTGTTGGAATTTGATGTTTTGGAATGGTAGATTCGTTTACAGAATTTGGTAAAATTTTAACGAAATTCATCCACGGTGTTTTTATATTCTGGTCGTTTTTCGTTGTAATGATTGGTAAAGCTGTTTTTGTGGACGATTTTTGTTTTTTTGAAATGGAGTTAACAATTTTATTTATGGGTATAACAGCGGGAACGTGTTTAATGCTGGTTTCTTCTTGTGTATTTTTTGAAGTATGTATTTTAACTAAGCTCTGTCTATTATCGGATTTGAGTCCAAGATTATTATTACTAATTGTCGATTGACCGATGATTTCAATAGTATCCATCTCTGCACCTTTACTTATCTTTGCTTCTTGAAATGTATTTTTTTGTCTTTCCAGTGTCATTTTAAAAGTCGACAGAACTTGTTCAGGTACCAAGTAATTTTTTCCCTGAAAAGGAAAACTTTTTAAGTTCGACTCGTTGAAGAAGTTTTAATAGTAAGTATAGGGGACATGACATAATTTAATGTTGCCCATGTTAGTTGTCGTGAGTTTTTCGCATCACAAAAGAAGGAAATTGCATATTTGCTACTGGACCTTTCGTAATTACAAAAGTTAGAGCTACACCCTACGTAAAGACTTACAAATATAATTCAAAAAACGGTTTCGGGAACACCTACTCTCGCTACAACTTGTGTACTTCTTTTCCGCCACCTTTCTAGTATGTTCACTTTATTTAACTACAACCAAAACGTCAGATATAATATATTTTATTTTATTTATTTATCAGAAAAATACTAAGACTAGTAATGCTATTTACACTATGTTGTATATTATTTCAATGAATAATAACACATTTTTGCTTACAAATGGCATTTACTCACTGTACTTATTAACGATCGGAAGCGGCTTGAGGCTGTCAGAAAAAGCTTTATCTTTTTAGTTTAAAAAGACGTTGTGCGTTTCACTTTCGCTAGGACCACCGATACGAAAGGCACGTCTTTTTCTCGCTTATTAAATTAATATAAAGCTGTTTGTTGTCGGGTTTATGAGCCTCCGTGTCGATAGTTATGGTGCGCGCTCCTTGTGAAAGAGTTCGTCCAGGGAAGTACTGGTATCTTACCTATTTTTGCGTTCCGGTTTTAAAGTGTAAGGGTGCTGGTGTAATTACAACTTTAAAATTAAACAATTACACATGGGTCTTGTCAACTTATATCTCACGGGTGACGGGCGTAGTGGCAGTGCCCCTCAGATCTTTGCGATTTAAAGTTCTAGGTGGCACTGCAACTATTTGAACAGGCGTGTCACTTATCACCAGGCCCACGACTTGTTTGTCCCGTGACTTGGTATCATAAAAAAGAAGAAATTTGGCAAATGTTGACAGTGCCATTTCAGTATTTGCGTTAGTAAGTACAGTGTCACGTATTACTTCGATGGACCATAGATTAATTCAACTTTTCTACAAAATCAAATTTCAAAATCGAACATGAAAGCTGGTACTTTGTCAAATAGTACTCCCACTTGTTGAATAACAGAATCTGTAATAGCGTTGATAATTACTAAGCGGAAAACTCGGTATTGGCGAAATCTAAAAAGGGCATCGCCGATAAGAAAAACGAAAAGGAAGAATTTGCAAAAAAATTAATGGAACAAGAAAGAAAGAAGGACGAGAAGAAAAAAATATGAGGTATGCTCATATTTTTGAGGTAAATTTCGTCTTCTATGAATCGGTGAGTACCTTAACCCAATCAGCAAATCCTTTCATCACGATGGACACCATTATAGTGTGTCATCGATGCGATAAGAAGTATTATTAGAATCCATTTAGCTACAGTTGACTAGCAGTCAGATACTCGACGATGATGCATTATCAGCTGTTATGAACAACTTTAAATGAAATTCGTAAATTGCATTGGATTACTCATATTTGAGTATATTATAATTGTAGTATTTGTCCGTGAATTTTCCTAAAATGTATAAATAAATAAATAAATAAATACCTTGGCCTCAATTTGCGTATTCGCGTTATTTCTGCTCTGTTGAAGAGTATTGTTTTCTTGTATCTTTTGAATTGTAAATGGCAATTCAAAATCTGTGTTGCTATCCTTACAGACTTCTTTAACAATAGTTTTCGTATCTTCAGTCTTTATTTTGCTACTCCAATCTTCGTTTATAGTTGTTGAAATATAATCTTTACTTTGTTCTATCTCTCTTTGCTCTTCCTTACATTTTTTTTCATGGTTGCTAAATTTGTTATAGCAGCAAAAATTATTTTTGCAAATATGGCAAAATATAATTAAATTTAGTGAAATATGTCCTTGATTTAGTGTCTCGTTTGGGAATCTTGCATAACAAATTTTACATTTGTTTGATTCTTGTTGTGGCTTATTTTTAGTTGGTTTGCCGGATTGGTTGCCAGTCTTGAAGATTTCAAGGTTTGGACTTTGAACTGTTTGTTTTCCCTCACTCATTTTGCCACCACTTGTTTTCTTGCTATAAAATAAAGGTTATAAAATTATATTATAACAAGATAAGATACAAGCCGCGGAAATTAACTTGATTCTAAACATGAACTATTTTGCTTGCTTCGTTTCGATTGGTATCGAGATGACAGAAACAAAGCAACTACAAAGATTCAAATGAAATTCATGCACATTTAAATTTCAAGATACTAACAGCGGTTCTTAGGCCGATTTATAAAACCAACCTTTGGCTTCGTCGAACTAAAGAGGCGAGCTAAGCAAGTTTTCCGCATTTACAAAATGAACTTTGCATAAGTATAAAAGGAGGCATTCATTAGCCTGCATTGCAGTCCGCCTTGCCGTCCGCCGCGTAATACAGGATTATGAATGTAGTAGCAGCATGCAAGCCATCCTGCAATGCGTCCTGCGAGACTCCATACGTGGGCCATGTACAGGATGAAATGAAATGGAAAGTTTAAGTACGAAATAATTAAGTTAACTTTGCTAAATTTACCGATTTGTCAACTTAAGCTACAATTTCTGTTGATTTTCTTGTTGCAATAATAGCAACGTCTCTATGTATTAAGTTATTTAGGACGTTCTATTTTGTGCAAGACATCTCAAAAAATTTGTCACAATTAAGTAAAATAATAAAAAAGTATTTGCTGGGTAAAGAACGTTTAAGGCACAATCCATTCTTTTTATTTACCGTGGTAGAAACCGCGCATAGTGACGAAACGCGTGCGCATCGGACAAAGGGCCAGATCAAATTAAATTCAATATCCTCTGCCTTACTGTCCGCCGGATTGCGCTGAACTTAACTATGTTAAGGTAAACATTGATAAGTTTGAGTTTCAGTAAAAACCCACCAGAGAAGTGTAGATACAAAACATATTTCTGTTCAATAATCGAAGTTCACGTTTGCTAACGCAATTAGCTCTCAATCTCAATGTTAGCTCTAAGTTCGGTTTATACCTAAATAGCAGAAATAATGTTTTTATTACATCTCTAATTCGTTTAAAAACGTACTAAAATCGGTTCAACTACAGTGCAGCTGACGTCGATTTGGACTAGTGTTATTTATGGAGCTAGCTATTTATGGAGAAGCATGATCCGCGTCGATTTTCAGATTACGAACCCAAAAGGTATTTAAAATATTTTTTAAATCATGACTATTATAGAAAATGATAACTTGACGATAACTATGCAAAAATTGTCCCATAAAAGCGCACTGGTGCAATGTGCTGCATTTCGATATTTCAAAGTCATAACATCGCATGTTGTTTAAATGTCGACAATAACATATTTTTTACTCTTATTAACTACAATTACAATTTTAAAAACTTTTTAAAATAAATATACTTTTCAAAATAATTTAAACATCTTTTAACATTTTATGAAAGTAAACGTGTTACACCATCCAGTCATGCTTGTTTACGAAGCTCGGAATAGAATCTTTGTAGATTGTTTCTTTTATTTAAACTCATGTTTTTTTATCAGAAATGTATTTGATAATGTCAAAATGTATGATTTTAATAATATTTATTACAAATTTTCAAAAATGTATACGCCAAATACTGCTTAGTAATTCAAAACAAAATCAGGTTACTAATTTTAAAATATAGCAGAGGATTGACTGCCCTTACCCCCCTTGGATAATGCGGCGTCAGTTTTTCAAGTTCTACCATAACATTTCATACGTAAAACTTATTCAATTTCATAGCTCAAAGGAATGAAAATCGAATAATATCTTGATTCGATTCAATCTACATAGAGATAATCAAAATTTTGAACAACCCCTATAAGAGGGGGAGGATTTTAATACCAGCTAACTTCCGTCCATTTTTTGCACCTATCTAAGTTGCTAATAGGAATTTGACATCTCCACTCACCTGATTTTTTACAAAAACTCGTTGATCGACTGAATAAAACAGTTCTATGCGCATTTAAACAAAATTTTGCCAGATTTTTCGAGAAATAACAAAACAATGTCACGAAAACATGACATCGAACCTAAAGGAGCAGGAAATCAAGGAAATGCGTAGAGACTAAAGAGGAAATGTCACACACTGACATTTACTTTTTTAATGCAGTGTTGTCATTCAGTAAAAAAAATCGATATGAAAAATAGTACTTGAATCGATAACCAATGTTATAAAAATTATTACTTAATATTAAACGCTAAAAACTTGATAATTAAAGAGCATAACCTGGTCTACAAAGTGTGATTTCTATGTATATTTTTAGTACGAATATAAAAATGTGGTATAAAAAAGAAGTAAGCACAATAGTGTTTGTAGTTAGCATTTTATTTCAATTATACCTTTTTCAGATGCTATTATATAATTAGATTATGATAGTTCCACTACTGGGTACAGGGCTTCTCTCACAATTGGAGGGCTTGGGCTTTTTGTAGTTCCCACATGTAGGTAGGTGACACTCTATATTTTAATTAAATATTTACGTTATGTAACAACACAATTATACGTAAAATAGTAAAAATAACTTGTTATAAAATTAAGCTTTTGTTGTAAACATCATTCGTTCATTTAAATAAATATTGGTGCGACCAACGAGCCTATTCACCTGGGGGTACTCCTGTTCGTCGTCCGACCGACATTCGTCACAGACAATAAAATTGCTGTCAAGTAATATTCGACCGAATTAAAAGATGCATGATGTGAAGGAACTTCATAATTTGGTATAGTTTGGATGGAGAACGAGATTAGATCTCCACGACCTGAGCTTAGAAGGTTCCTGTGCACGCACAGGTTATAGAGCCATTGTCGTATAACCTAAGGGTCGGTAGGTCACTATAATCAAAACTTATGTAAAAAAGAAGGGGATCATTCGTAAGAAACTATGGAGTTTTCTTTTTGTAAACACTTGTACACACTTATCATTTACAATACTTATTTCAAACATCATAGATCGAGACTAACTGCAAGAGCTACATGCACAGGTCTTTTTCACAGCTGTGTTTTCAGTGAGATCAATGAAACAAATGATTAAAAGAAATTTTGTTTTGACAAAAATTATATTTCACATTAAAAAAATGTTTTTACTATCACTTATGTATGACTTAAGCACATTTATTTCTTAATGCTTCATAAAATTAACAATCAATATACTCATTATAGTACATATATTCAAATATTAACATCTTACATTTCACTACAACTATCGGTTAAAATAATCTTTTTAAACGTTAACAAGTTTTTGGACCCTGAAATGGGGCATAGAACTGAATTTTAATTATATTCGTTCAGTAATTAGAAATGAATGAAATATTCATTATTCCACATGAAATTACAGTGGCAACTCAGAACAATAACTTTAGTATGAAAGTAGTATCTGAGTGTGCGAGGGATTCCATCATCGGGGGACCAGGCATAGGCTGGGGTTCCACTCCTATGTTGGGATATTCCTAGAATTCGCACGAAGCGATTCGCTTCCACACTTATATGGCGAACGGTTAAGGAGTGGAATTCCCTGCCTGCAGACTTGTTCCCTGAAAGTTATAACTTGTACCTTTTCAAGGCGAGAGTAAATAGGCATTATTTAGGTATGCATGCTCCATCGTCGACCTCATCGTCACTTTTCGTCAGTTGAGATGGAAGTCAAATGCGCACACATTTTTTAATAAAAAAAAGTAAGTTATTGTGTAACAGGTGGCCTTACTGCTGTGTAGCGATTTAATTTAAATGTTATTTATCTCATTTTCTATAGGTATTTCGAACGCAGGCACCATACTGTCATAATTTTCAGTTTTTATTGCTATTTTATGCACTTTTAATTTATGTTTTTTCAAACAATGTTCACCACGATATTTTTTACCACAAACATCACAATTTACAGAACTCACATTAATGTGACGCGTTTTAACGTGTCTATTTAACGAGCCTTTACGATTAAATGTATTGGGACACATATGACATTTCAAAGGTCGATTCACGTGCTGGTCCATGTGTTTATCAAAATCGGTCACATTTTGTTTGCAAATTTCACATTTTGTTTTCACAACGTTGTCTCTATTTGGATCGTGAACGGTGTTTTTGTGTTTCCGCAAAACGTCTCGAGTGCTGAATTTTTTGTTACAAATGTCACATGGATATTTTTTCAAATCGAAATGATATTCCATATGCCGCTTGTGCGTGTATTTAGTAGCAAAAGATTTGGGACACAAGCCACATTTGTAAGGCAAAGCTCTGTCTCCAGCGTGGACTCTTAAATGTTTAACATATTCACCACGACGATTAAATGTCTTCCTGCATTGTTGGCACTCGAATTTCCTATTGGGATCGTGTATTTTCTTATGAGCAAGAAGATAGTAGCGGTTCCTAAAGAGTTTTGAACAAATGTCACAGGCGAATGTTTCCCCAGTGTGAGTGTACATGTGTGACTTCAAATGTTTCTTAGCGGTGAACGTTTTGGGGCATTGGTCACACGCGAATCTCCGAAGCTTCAAATGAACAGTATCTCTATGTTTATTTAAATTAGTTACATCATTGAACGACTTGCCGCATCCTTCGCACATGTATTTTTTGTTAGTTCCATTGTGCCAGCTAATGTGCCTTCTCAATGTTTGCTTGTAACGGAATTCTTTTAAACAAATGTCACACTTGAACACATTTTGTCTAGTGTGAATGTTTTCGTGTTCTCGTAGAAATCTCATATCTGTGAATCTTTTGTCACAATAAGAGCATTTATATGGTACATCGCCGTGGTCATGGCGGTGATGCCGACGAATATCATTCCGGCCCCCGTGTATGATCTTGTCGCATTTGTCACATTGTGAATTTTTGTTCTTTTTACAACTGTGTATTTTGTGACATAATTTGTTGTTTATGAATTTCTCGTCACATTCTTTACATGTAAACTCGACGCCGTCTTCAGTTTTGATTTTTTGAAAGAAGTTTTCGTAGTACTCTCTGTTGTGTGCGCTTTGTATATGGTCGGACATGATGGCAATTCGCGAAGATCTTTCGTTGCAATATTTACAACAATATCCGGACGCGTTTTGTGTAACAAAATTATTTAGTTGGTTGAGCCTTCTAAGTACAACTGAAAAAAACAAAAAGCTTAAATTATTATTTAAAAAACTGACCTCAGAATTTCGTTTTTCTTTGCAATTGCATCATTTGCTTTATATATTATTGAAATCGGTTACCGGAAAGTGCCCGAAGCCGAATTCAGCCCCTAGTTTGCCACCCTTACGTGTTAGAATATTTTCTTAAAATTTAAATAGGACCAATATTGAGGTCTTTCCAACAAAAAAAAAAGAATCATCCAGAACCAAAACCATCATCAAAAAGAACCCTCTGATTCCAGATAATTACGTTAATAACTCAATTTCGCTAAAAATTTCGATAACATTATAGGAGTGTCCTCCTATTGTTTATACGTGCTGACAAAATTCACTCTTACTAGAGGCCTGTGACGAGCAGAAGATTTTATTACCTGGTCTAGTCTTTTTTCTCCCGTCTTGTGATACTTTTATACTTTTATCCTGATTTTGTGTTGCTTTCCCAGTGTTGACAGTAATTTCAACTTTTACACCAGAATCTGTAAATAATAAAGAACAAACATTACATATACCCCAACTGACGTTAAACGTTTGTCTACCTTACCTATTTCTGCCGCCAAGCAGTAACGTGGGCATTACTGCGTTCCAGTCTTGAAGGGTAAGGGTGTTGGTGAAATTACAGGCACTTGGGATTTGTCAACATATGTCTCAGGGTGACGGGCGCAGTGGCTGTGCCACTCAGATCTTTGCGATTTAAAGCTCTGAGTGGCACTGTAACTGCTATGGATCGGCGTGTCGCTTATGCACGCCTGATGTGCACGACTTGTTCATATTACTTAGTGTAATAAAAAAAAAATGGAAACATCCAAAAATTTAACGTTAAACTCTCCCTTACATTTAATGACATTCGTAGATAGGCTTTAGTTTAGAACAACTGATACAAAATTTTGTGCTTCCTTAAAAACAAACATCCCTTTGTTTTTGTTCAATTAAAAGATACTTTTATTACTTTATTTATAGCAGTTTTAACTGACTACAAAAAAGGAGGTTTTTTTAATGTATGTTACACGATAACTCTGTTTGTGACTGGATTTTTCTGATTCTTTTATTGTTGGAAAGAGGGTACTTCAGTATTGGTCCCATTTAAATTTGAAGAAAATATTCCACCTCTAAGGGTGGCAAACTAGGGGATGAATAACTTTTGCGGTCGGTTTTTTTGTTGTCTATAAACTTATTGTTACTTCTTAAAAGTAGGTCAACTAAATCCTCTCCAGGAATGTCATATTAAATGTATGTGATACGTTACCTTCATCTTTGATAGATTTCCAGTCGAATTCGCTGCCACTATCTGCAAAATTAAATAAAAAAAACATATTTGGGCGTTAATAAGCATGCATAAGTGTTAACTTAATGCCAATGGTAGTTTGTTGTCTCGTCTACATTTTACAAACATGACCTAAGTGAATTTAGATCTCCAAATAATGAAAAATAGTAAAAACAGTTGACATAAATCCAAACGGTCTCCGTGGCCGAACGGTTACAGTGCCGGACAGCCATGCAGAGGTCCCAGGTTCAATTCTCGGGCCGGGAGAAATATTTGTATGGCCTACATTTATTTCTCTCGTCAGTTTGGGTGTAATTTGTGGTTGTCTATGTGTGTCCATGGCACCCGCGACACAGGGTTTTTCCTAGTGCGGGGCTATATTGAGTGTGTGCGTTATTATTATTTATCTATTTTAGACTCTCGCCTCTCCCAAGGCCTAAAAGATTAATATGATTATTATAATCGATCGATTGAAGAATTTTATTTCCGAGTGTTCGACCTTTATATTAATAATTATAACAAAGCTAGTGGTGTAATTTCACATAAAATAATTGAATGTCATGGTGGTGAAACATTTAATTTAATTACAATTATTAATGCGAGTTCTCTAGTTAGCTGCTGGTAGCTGTAAAGGTACCTGACTGAGTGAAGAAATGGATTTTTCAAGATGGCGCTACGGCAAAAAGTCGTAAAAACCATAAACAAAGATCTGCAACAAGCACTTAGAGAAATCCGTGAGGTCCGCTGGTTCGTTCCGTAGTTTAGTTGGCATAGCATAGTCTGCCACGATTTGCTAGAAGGCGTCGGTTCGAATCCAGCCGGATCGAAGGAATTTTATTCTAAGTGTTCGATCTTTTTATTAATAATAATAATAAACTCATTTATTTGCCTTGAAAACAGTAATACACTTTATAATAAAATCAGAGACGATGTTAATTAACAACTAAAAAAAGAGTTTATGACTCAGCGGTCGGAACCCACGGCCTTTGTTATTCTGACATAACCTTGTTGAAGTTTTGTAATTAAATATTTATTTTAGGGCATCGAAACTTATAGTAGGTATTGTGATTGAGATATTTTACTTCAAAATATGAAACTTAGAATAATTAAACCTACCAGTATTTATACATTCCAAGCCATATACATACATAGCCATTCGCGACAATATCCACGAAAAGTTAAAAGTGTATGATTAAATTGAATTTTACAGATAGGTGGGGGCAGATCATTCCGAATTTTGGCAGAAGCGTACTTAAAGCAACCTCATGCGCCAGCAGATCTAATCAAGGGTAATAATTATAAATTCGTTAGCCAAAACCACGAAACAAATTTATAGGCACCTTTTTCTCAAAACTATGATCATGTGAGTTGGCGCGTTACTACTTATCAGCAACCATTTGTGGTAAAACAAGTCGCACTTTTAGGCGTCGCGTCTAGTCTGTTGCCATATTACGACTATCTGTCGTGTCTGTGTCGTGGACGTTTATTTTGTCGTTGTACGACTGTCGTGTCTAGCTGTTCCCACTAGATCGTGACGACAATTTACCGATTCACGGCAGCCGCCTTGTCGTTTGCACGACAGAATCGTTTGGAGCTGCGATTATCTGTCATTTTTACCGCGACGTTTTATTTATCATCCGACGACTGTCGTTCTAGCTCTTCCCATTGTTACGACAATCTGTCGTCGTAACATCAAAAAAGTCGTGAACGACAGTTAATCGTGTTGTACTATATGAACAACTTCATTTAAATATACAAACAAGCCACGACACTGCACGACTATTTGTCGTCACGACATGATGGCTACGCGCCCTTAGCCACGTGTCCTCTCAATAAGGAACAACCCCGTACCTGAGAAGATTTACAATGTAAACGCCATTCTTGTAATTTTACGTGGGAAGCATTGACTTACAATTATATGGACGTCGGGTCCGCGCTAAAAAGTGTCCGAACTTATAGGGCGTTAAAATCGTATACAGAGC